ACAAATACATTACGTGGTTGGAATTCCATTTACATTCTTCACATATGCCTACTTGTTCAACAAATACCTTACAGATAACTCAATGAAACTTTTAATAAATAAGAATTCGCCTCATTAAATGACGTAATGAATTCGAAAAATGATGTCACAAGCGACGTAAGGCATTACAAAAACTTTAACATGGAACGTTCTTAAGAGACTCCAAACGCGATAGGATATCACTATGGTAGGTGGAATCAATGTGAAAAAAGAAGTGATATGATAATACCGTATGGAATGACGTCAGTGAGGTGTAATTATTCAATTCCATGTAGTAGTGGAAGGCGATGAACAAGCGATGGGCCTGGCGATCGACCAATAACGGATCTCCACATGGAACGCTCGCAGTTTCAGCCAGTCACGACGAAGGCTGATGCAAGTGCGATTCTAGGATGTCCTACGGCTGGTCAGATGTTGCAGCCTGTTCAGTACGATTACATCAGCTAGGGAACGCGTACGGAAATTTCGTTCCGTCGGGCACTGTTATGTATCGGATCAGTCGTTATTCGGCAGCCGGTGGTTCGAGAAGTTGGGTACGCGACAGATAGGGGCGGTGCTGTTTTAGAGCAAGTGACAATAGTAAATTCATTCTATATTTTATGGCTGATTATGAGCGTATTGAAAAGTGTTATCATCACGTTGCCTAAAGGCCTGTCGTCGAAGACGCCTGGCGTTATATCGGTGACCGAATTATCGAAAACCGCGCCGAAATTAAATTTCTGCGCTTCTGTACTAACTGAGAAGACGAGAATGGATCCGAAGAAACTTACCAAGCATGAGGAAATGCAAGACGACGGCACATCGTTCAAAACGGATGTATGCGTCCGTGGAAAGAAACGGCGATTGGATCACTTGACGTGGGAAGAAAAATTACAAAGGAAGTACGTTGATAAGAAATGAAAATGATAAACACGCGAACGAAATATGATAAGCCGATTTTTGTTGATTTCCATGATGTTTGTGTCATTCGATGACTAAAAACAAAGTATTTTAATCTGGAGTCTGATCTAGTAGATTCAAAGACACGAGCTTCTCAAAATAAACAACAAATACTGAGGTCTAGGATGTTTGTACTATGTCAATCATACCAATGTCAGCTTTTATATTAGTTCAATTTTATTAATTTTATTAACGTTCGTAACCGATGTTTTATACTTTTATACTTTTATTTAATACTTCTCAAGTGTTCGAGAAAACATTTAAATGTAAAAATTGAATTCAGAAATTGTTCTATAAAAGGCGGGAAATTTGACTTATCATATTTTCCATTTGTGGCTTTCAAATGTTCGTAACCATGTAACATTATAAGTACATTCAAGATTGGTATTTGATTAATTCGAAATATTATTTTCTAGGAAATTAAAAAATAGGGTAGCAGCTCAAACTTCTCGGGACCGTAAAAAGGCGAAACTCGACGAATTGGAAGAAACTGTTCGAACACTGAGGGAACAAAATGAATTGTTGACGCAAGAATGCTCGATGTTAAGATCGCAGAATGAAATATTGGTCACAGAAAACAAAAGATTGAGGAAGGAAAGAGAGAGCAAGAACGCGGGAGAATTTGCCTGTTCCATGTGCCAGAGTCGTGTCAGCTGTGCTGTGTCCTCACTGGGATCTACAGTATCCCCTCACCCTCTGCAGCAGGGTGGAACAACACAGCTGGCACCGTCCCTGACACTAACCCCAGGAGCAACAATTCTCCTGAAGATACTGACCATCTACCTCCTCTTGAAGAATTGTTTGGTGACTTCCAAGGAGACGATTACATCGAACGACTTGAAGAACTTGCAGAGAGCCTGCTACGGGAGGTTACAGCAGAAGTGGAAGCAAATTCTCATAGAACAAATGAACAAGTGAGTGTTTTGATTATTGCCAATCTATTGGGAAATTATATATCACGAAATATTTTAATTTCGTTAGTTTATATTATAGGAATGAATGAATTGTTTGAAAAATCAAAAGAATTTTGATATTTTATCATGCAGTTCAGTTGAAATTATCGAAATTTGGCTGTAGTTCTGCAAAGCAGATCGACATAAAATTTTGAGAGGATGGAGAGAGAGAGGTTATCCCAAATATAAAATTTTAGTTTCGAGTATTTATTATAAACTATACATAGAATTCAGTCTGTTATATATTGAAAGTTTTTTTTATTAACAACTCTACACTATTTCATATTCAATCGGAAACTGTGGTTTTCGGAACAATATCCGTTATTGTGAAACATCATTAAACATATCATTCGTTTCTAAACTCATGTTTTTCATTTACAACTCAGTTTTCCTTTCGTTAATGATATAACGATTGTGTCTTGTGTAGGTGTCAGCCAAGGAAAATACCACTGAGAAATGTCACTATCCAAAAAGAGTGGTGGGGCAGACACCAAAAGATGTGGAAACCAATGGAACCTGTAGAAGCATGAGTACACATCAGTCGTGGCATCCTGTTTCAAGCACAGCCAGTACGTCTTATACCACAAGCACAAACGCACCTGTGTCAATAAAATCGGAGGTCGAAGTAAAACAAGAAGTCGAAACGCACGAGTTAGACACTATTTATGGTACCTACGACGAGGCAACCAATTCTGTAATGATCATCTATCCTGGAGATGAAACTAACGTGAGCATTCAAGAATGCGTTCAAGAAGTAGTTACGGATGGTACTTGTTCAAATGAAGATTCAACTTACTTAACGCCGAATTATTATACCAATCAGTTATCACCATGTTATACAAACACGGATTCTATGTCACCATCGAGCATACATTCTGAAGATGTGGATAACAATTACACACACACGAAATTAGACTCGAACGCATCCGATTGTGGATACGAATCGCACGGTTCTCCAAATTCAGATGTACGACTTGAAAAGGAGAACGTGGGTCTGTCGGATCTTTGGCACGAAAGCTTTTCTGAATTATTCCCAACATTAGCATGAGTTTTTCTAAAGAATAAAATCTAAAAGACAATATCTGTGATATGCGTATCAATGTTATTCTGGCAGGAAAGCCATTGTATGATTAGAAAATTATTTATTCTTTTCCGTCTTCAATATATCAGTATAAATTGTGTTGACACTCGACAACAAACACATTCGTACTTTTATACTTGATGTTAAGTTTTCTTTAATACACGTTCTTTTATTTATCTCGATGTAGACTTTGTAAGCACAATATTAAGTGTTATTGTATATAATATCTCTTAAATGTTTATTGGTAAAACAATAGGAATACCGCTGTGTAACAGTATGCCAAATAAAAAAACAATCCATAAAAAAAAAACTTGTCTATTCTTAGATTCTATCCTGGTTTTTATAGAGAAAGTAGGAAGCAGGAGGCGTTCAGGAAAGAAATACTGTTACAATTAATCTTTAACTCATATTTTTACTGCTTTTACATTATGCATTTACCAAGTAATTACTTTGCGTTTGATTAATTTATGTCATTATTTATGTATATCTGTGTTTTCTGTGATAATTCGGCAAGTGTTAATCTCTATGAAAACAAACCGATTGAAAAATCTGATTTCCAGCATTACAAATTACGTATGAAATCTATCAGAAAAATCGCGAATATTTGGCAATGTACGAATTTCATATAAATATCTTTTTTAATTGGCAGTTTGCTTCCCCTCCAGTATATCTCCTCAACGATTATATTATTAGTAAAAATAAGCTATTAATTAGCACCCTTTAATAATCCTTAGACTGTATGATCAAAGTGAACTACATAATATAAAATATTCGTGAAAATATTAGCAACGTACCCTTATTAAGGGCAATGGAAGATAATAATAACCACGATTATCCTATTACCTTATTCTCATTATAAGAATGCATAAGAATACGTGATATAATTGAATTGTTGCACCATTAGTGTATCGAGGTTCGTAAAAATCTTCGAAGGCTGCCTCGAATCACGACTTCAAAGGCTACTTGAATCGTGAAACTTCTGTATGATGACTAAAGCGATTACATATTCTACGCGGTATAGACGTGTGTGTAGAGCCTATAAAAATTGCAAGTAATACCAAGCGGAATAGCGCCTGTTCGTCTTTATATATTACAAATACGAATACTTCGCGGTAGATTCTCTTCTAACCGAATAGCTTGTCGAAACAGCCATGGCAATACGGTTTGTCATTTTGTTCTTTAAAAGTGCCTTTGTTCAATTGTTTTAAACAGAATGCGCATACGAAATGCTCCGGATGGAACTTGCGGAACATGGCGGTTATGCAACGACCTGAAAGAAGAAGAACGTTTGTTTGAAAAAGTGTTAGTGGCTGATGATGTAAGAGAGTTACTGGCAAGGAGTATGAAAGCGCATGAAACCTGTAATCGGTTTATGACATCCTGCGCAGAGGGATCCTCTCTTCGCATGATAATGGGTCTCGCAGTAGGGTAAACCTTCGTGATCAAAGAACGAGCCGCCTTGGAACTTTTGTCGACAGTCCTGCGAATAATAAAAGGCAAAGTGCTTGTACATCAATTAAGGAATATTTCACACTGGGCATGAAGAATTTACGACTGTACTGAATAGAATTACAGAGTATAGAGAAAGTATATAGTACTACAGGGCAGTGCCGTTTCTCCAGTTCCCTATTCATTGATGAATGAATCTAAAACTAATTTGTGGAGGGGCAACTCAACGAGGCAAGTATAAATTACATGCGTCCTAGCGAGCGTACATGTGCATGTACATGTGTATGGACTAATGTAGAGTTAATATGTGAATAGCTCGTGAAATCTGCAGATCGTAACCTGCAGCAAATCTATGCGTTGACAAACATCATTAGAGCAATATAGGATGCCGGTATCAGCGCACACCTGCCTCCAACGACGAATGCACGTGGCAAGCGACGGCATCCGAGTCACGGAGCTAGCTCTCTGTGTTGTGTGTTTCTTTTGTTTTTTGTTTTTTTTTCCCTAGTTTATTTTTATTTCACATACAATGCTAGTAATTAACAGTAGCGTAACGACCGATCGATTGTTAATAATGTTTATCTATCTAGAAAATAAGTGATTTGACAGCAAAAAAAGAATTCAATTCGATGCTCGAACAGCATCCCCATAGCAACGCCATTGTAACCCTCCCTAACAACTGTTAGCCCTAACTGTTTCTGACATGTACTGTACATTTATCCATACGTGTACGTGTACGTGTATGTTCGTGTATACAAATGAACAAGGATTTCGAGAGAAACGAGATAACGACGTGGATGACATCGAGGTCGGTGCGTTCTTTCCTTTCTGGATCACCTAAATCACCTGTTGAAAGAAAATTTGGAGGGGCGGGCGAGGGGTGGAGATGTCAGGTTCGTACATTGTAGCAGCCTGACAGCATAAAGAGGGGAACAATAGGGCTTTTTACATAAGAAATCGAAGCAACACACGACGGCCTGTGGCCATCGGTCTTTATGCTTCTTCCTCTTCCTCTTCGTCATCGTCGACACCGACGCATTTCGGGCAAACAGGTTTACCCTCCATTGCATAAAACGACTTTCCAGATACCGGCTTCTTGCAGTCCTGCAAGTTTTTACATTTTAAAGCTACTTTACATTTTACAACGCTGCGAAACCGCGAATCCTGTAGACACAGACGTAGCTGCAAATGGAAGCAAATCCGTTTGTACGTATAAACGTCGATAAAGTGAAAGACTACCTACCCTGCAGACGAAACAGTCCGGATGCCATTGGCTGTTCAGGGCGGAGATGTAATTCTCCATGATGGCACGATTACATCCGCCGCATTTCGGGGCGAACATGTCGAAATAATCTTCCCGGCAGTACGGCTTTCCGTCACGCTCGTGGAAACCCTCTTCTCCAAACTGTTTGCCACACTGAGCGCAAAAGAAGTGCTCCGTGTGCCAAGTTTTTTCCAACGCGGTTACGCATTTCTGAAAATAACGAGGAACTGTGCTGTGAAATAACGCGCTCGGGACGAAACACGCCGCGGTGCGTGGGTGTTCATTGGACTCGCTGTGCTTTACATCTAGAATGGGGCCGTTGCAGTAGGCGCAACGTGGTGAGAAAAGATTGTGATAGTCCGGCTCGCAGTAAGGATGGCCCTCCCTCTCGAAGAAATTTCTCGTGCCCAGTTCCTGGTTGCAGTGCGTGCATGTGAAATGTTCAGGATGCCACGTTTTCCCCAGTGCGGTGATCACCTACGAGAAATGATTTTCAGTCATTTGAGAAGGAGCCTTTAAAAATGTTGAAAAAGAAGATGATCCAGAATGATGATCCAGATCGATGACGAATTTATCTGCCGAATTTACTTGTCCCACGATTGGTTTCTCGCAAGCACTGCAGCATCCTTTTTGGGTAGTGTTCACTCCTTGGCGACTCATGTCGGCTTGAAGGTTCCCTAGCATAGAATCCAACTGATTCTGTTTGGTCTGAGTCGCTGGCTGCGGCGGATAAGGCTCTCCGTGTTGCTGCTGATAATGATGAGTAGTTTGGGTCTCGGTGATATGAATTCGAGTCTGCGTGCCCTCGGGTGGCAACGGGCTCTGCGAACTCTTGGTCGCCTTGTTCGGCTTGGCGTACGGAGAATCGGTCACTGTCTGATGTTGGTGGGAACTACTATTGATCTGTAAACGTACGATACATATAATAATAATAATAATAATAATAATAATAATAA